CTTTTTTCATCCTGCACATCGTAATATCAATATAAGCTTTACTGTTTAAAGTAATACGTGTGCACATATCGACCTATTCTCTGTTCAGTAAATACGCCGTGAAGCAATGAGTGCATTTATACAGAGAATTGCAGTACTCTGCCCTATTCTTTGTGAACGGTTTGTTCTTCTCGTGGTTGTGCAGCTGTAGAGCATTTAGTATAGAAGACGAGACACAAGATGGGGGATGGGGATGGGGTTGATGATGATGTAAGCAATGCATTTGGCTATTTTATTTTTTCTCGTTGACACTTCATTTGTTAGCCTAATCATTCGTATAAACGGTGGCACAGATTTTTATTTTATTATTCCGCATACGGAACTTCTAACCCCTTTAGACAATCCGGTGCTCCGACCAATCAAAGTAATTGGCACCGTTTTTACCATGAGTTGCAATCAAGGGGTTAAATGTTGATTTCAAAGCAAAATACAATAAAGAGAGGGCATCTATAATAGTAGATTGTAAAGATATCCTGGTTCAAATGTGAACTTTTTTTTTTGAACTTTCCGCGTTTTCATCAGCGTTAGCGAGAACGAGAATGTGATATTAAGGAGAAGATACGAAGTTGTTTAATAATCATTGACCATTTTATTCTAATCAATCAAAACATCAGTTATCTCAAGTCGTTCCTTGCAGACATTTTTCCCCAGAAGAAACGTATGTTATGACTAAATTTAATGTATGTTACGTTATTTACATTAGGTAACTTTGTGTATTCTATTACTGTGTACGAAATGGAATGTAGGACATGGTATGAAGAATGATATGAGGCAAGTAGCTGCATATACTATGTCATCATGTAAATAAATAAAGCATAATATAAATAAGGATATTCAATTAGGCTCTTTGTGTATGACTGATAACTTTACAGATAACAAGCTTAAAATCTATTAATCTATGGATACCGTGTCGACATATTCTCTTGATCCTTATAATGCCATGTCGTTTGCTGTGATCTCATTAATCGTCTGCAATCAAGCATTGTGTGTGTAAAGACTCGCTGTAATCAGATATTTGTAAAAGTAGTTCATTGTAAAAACTGGGCATGCTATAATCAGTGATTGCGTAAATAAGAGTCGAGATGAACGACGACGAATTAAGAGAGTGCGGGGATACAAATTGCGTATATGGTTATGTGCGAGTCCTCGATCTATGATTCCATCGCAAAATATTTGCAGATTAAGTTAGAACTCAAACGTGTACCCTAATCATCAGCTTAAAAGAGGGTTGTCTCTATTATATTTGCTGTTTACAATACAGCATAGATTAATAAAGTGCATTTAGCATACAAATATCGTTGCGTTTTCTTGCACGTATCCGATATCGCTTGCACATATACTAACAAAATGCAAAGTAGTCATGCAATAAATGATTAATATATAAATAAATATAAATGGTATGTTAATATACACCATAGATGGCAAATCAAATACGCAAGATACTGGTATGATATATTTAGACTGGTTAGAGTTCTCCGGACACAGAATACGTTCCAAATGCGTTCACAAGATGTTTCAGATTTCCCCATACCCCGTGAGTATATTTGCATGCACTGATTGGTGGCACAATGGCTCCGAGAATCGTGTGCAAAAGCAGGACAGATCCAGCAGATAACAAGAGAAGGAATAAACAATGGTGAGATCTTGGCAAACAGCAGTAGCAGCGGGAGATATATGACTATTTTATTTATATGTAGCGTTAATACAAGTGGGTAATCAATGTGTTGTATGCGACTTGTCAGTATTTGTGGGTATTCTTTTTTATAATTACAATATTAGATCAATATATTCTTACAATGAGAATATCATCATTAATATCGGCATCGCAATAACTATACTCGTACCAAACCCATTATTTCTGATTACAATGCAAGCGTTAACGCTAAATATTCAAACATACTAAATACATCACTTGTTAATTAACTTAATTTATTCATTATTCACCAAGTAACTACTGGCTTATAAACTAAACCAAACTAAACGACCCAATATTGGTGGCTTTACTTTCTGTTGATGCATCTCATTTACCGAAATCCTCACTAATTAATACAAACCACTAACTACAAGCATCGTCTATAAGCTATTCTATTCTATCTTTTCTCACCGTCTCTTTATCCATTATTCAAATCATCTGCCCCGTTTATCAAATCAATATATTCACCTCGTTCCCACTTCCATTTCTTATTTACTCTGTAAAACCTTGAGCGAAACGTGATAATTTCACAAATTAAAGTATAAAAGCCGTCCCCCAGTAATCAAGACAAACTTTATCTCTCCCGGAGAACTTGTAATGTCGCAAAATTAAACATAATATTATAACAAGCACATGGAATCCAATTTTTACTACCATGAACGATAATCTGAATATCCAACATAATTATAATAATCATCCCATTATGACAACACCTTTCAACTTACCTTCTCTTGATTCCATTAATTTCTCTGCTATCCAACATCAACTGAACCAACAACAAGACGTCGTAACCGCAGCAACAGCATCGTCTGTTGCAACAACACCAACAGCCTCTCCTCCTCAACAACTCAATCAAGAATCCCAACAAGTTCCCTTTCAATCAACCCAATTACTACAACAACAGCAGCAACAACAACAACAACAACAACAACAACAACAACAACAACAGCAGCAGCAGCAACAACAACAACAACAACAACAGCAGCAGCAGCAGCAGCAGCAGCAGCAGCAGCAACAACAACAACAGCAACAACAACAACAACAACAGCAACAACATCATCAACAACATCAACAACAACAACATCATCAACATCATCTCTCTTACGAATCAATACCTAGATCCTCC